TAACTTTAAAGCTATGTCAATGAAATGAAAGATTTGACAATAAGAGGGCTGAATCAGCTCAAACACACCATTTGGGGCATTGTCCTCCCTACCCTCGGATAATCTTTCCCCAAAACTGGAGAGAAATCCTTACAACTTTGGAGCGCTCCGCTGAAGCTAAAAGGCCTATAATTGGTTCCTCTCATATTTCACACTTTCTTTACTGGTGTTTGCCAGGCACTTTTTTGATCAAAATATTTCTGTCAGAATGACTTTAAGCTTTTGTTCATTCATGTCTATGAAGTTATTGAGGTTTTCAACTTGTAATAAAAAAATCCTTTTTCTAAAATAGTTACAAAATTTCATTAGCAAACTCTTGTTTTGTTTGAAGGAAAAGATGTTCTTACATGTTAATTATTTTTTCTAATCAGATCACACCCTTTTTCAAAAATTCTGGAAAAAGCTCTCTCTTTTTCCCTTCATCCACTCCTAAGGAAAAAAAAAAAAAAAAAAAAAAAAAAAAGAGCAAGTTCCTTTGAACATTTAATGAAGATAGGAAAATAATAAGATTGTACAAAAATATATTTTCATTATTCAGGTGGCTCTGGGGAACAGATTCTACACAGTGCATTTCAATGATCCCAGACAATGGATTACTCTCATAATTTGTTCTTAAAGTCTGTTTAATTGACTTACTTAGCCACCTGTTCAGAATAGTTACCATGAAAGCAGTGGTTTTGCTGAATCTCTGAGTGCCAACTTTTCATCCTTCATCCTGCCTCCTTCTCCCATTCTGGCCATTATAAAGCACTGAGCAATGCTTAGCACAGATTTAAAAATAATCTTCTAGACATACAACATATATTTTAACTAATCAGGAAGGAACTGCAAAGTTATAACAATAACATGCTAATCAGAGCATTTGCTCACTGTCAGCTCTATCTGTTCCTGGGTGAGTGTCAATTTATTACACTGCACATATAATAAAGGGGGAAAAACCATAAAGAATGATATGCATGTTTAATGTATGTAAATAGACAGATAGATACCATGCACCCCTCTAGCTGAATTCTATCAGCCAATTTCACATTAAGAAGTTCCGTAAAAACAGTAACATTGCGAGAGGCAATTCAGCCAAGGACTTTGAAAATGCTGTCCATTCCTTCAAAAAAAAAAAGGCAAGCAGTTAAAGGCATGAACTTCCATTTAGCGCCACTTACCACATTTAAAAAAACACCCCAGTTATAAAGCACTGGGGCACCCTTTGTTGCCTGCCGCGAGTCAGATTGCTTTCCCCAAGACTGATGTAATGTATTTTTGCAGGACAGCAGATTCTGAGAAATAGAGGGGTTCAGCAGTAGAGCATAATTAGCACTCTCTAAAAGTGGAGCTACAATGTAAACAGCTCAAGTCTTCATTGCACAAAGCAAACAAACAATCCCAGCTGAGGATTCCCTGGCAGGGCTCGAGCAAATACGGCCCTCGCTGCTGACTGCTGTTATTGCTATGGTTGCTTAATCTAAACAGACAGCAGCATGTAAAAATGTAAATATTTGATATTTGTTAATACAGTCCTAAGTTATTGCTCTAGTCGGCTGTTTTGGTTTTCATGCATAGGGACGCCTATGTGCAAACCGCTCTTCATAGCTTTCAGTAGAGGAGAGTATTTTTAAGAAGCCATTATCTAAACTGCTGATGTAATAAGGCACCGGTATATGAAATACACTTAATAACTCAACTTTAGTTATTTATTGTGAACGAGGGTGCATTCTCCTTGATTCCATTTCCCAGCGAAATATAAGTGGAGCTTTCATCATGAGTGCTTGAATTTATGGCAAGCAGACCAAGTGACATTAAGAAAGCCACACAATCCCTTCATTCAGGCTTTAATAAGGAAGCCAAGGAAAAATTATCCAAGCTGGTTTGCGGGTGACAGCACAAGAACTTTTTGGAGTCAGAAAGTTAGCACGGAGGCTCCCTGTCAGCCCATTAAAAAGCAAGGTTGGCATTCCCAGATATTGGAACCATGTGTGCAGAGGAATTTTTCTTCTGGTAAGACATTCCAAATATTGTCCCAGAGCCAAACACTTCGGTGTTAGACTAATTTAAGCAGTATGTTGGAATCAGCTCTCAGGACTTTGATCATATGGAGATCGTTTGTTACAAATTGAACTAACCCAGTCTCTATTTCTGGTGGATCAGAACTATGGATTTGTTGAATTAAATGCCTCATTTAATGCAGTTTGCACATGAAAAGAAAGCTGCACTCAGGAATCTGATAGTGAATTTTTCACCTAACCAACAGGTCTACTTTTTTATTACTTTTAAACCTAATCCATACTCAGTCCACACTGTTCTTAATAAGCCCGAGGCTGTTTGGAGTGAAGGTTTAAATCAGCTCGTATGTTATGGGGGGAAAGCATCACTGAATTATCAAACCGTGTAATAAGGAACACATTTGAATCCAATTCAAGAAATAATTTTATGAAGAAAAATAAATTAGTCCTTGGTTGTTATTTACCATCCAAATAGCACAGTGCTCTTTCATGACAGCAGTGGAGGGAAAGCTGAAAAATGATTTTGCAGACATACAATTTTCTCCCTGCCTCTCATTGCTGTCCCCATTCTTGCAGCTGAACTATTGTGAGGGTTAAAAGTGCACAAAATAAAGCATTTCCACATATGGCTGCACTTTCTTTTCATTTCTTGAAGTTATAATGTCTTTAACTGTTGATAATGATATTATAAACTGTCATTTAGTGCATTTTGAGTATATTAAATACATGAAACAAAGATGTGTAGGTCCAGCTGGACCCTGATCAGAAACACTGAGATCTGATTCACTAAAACTGCAGATAGCTACGTGCAGGGCTTGCAAGGAGCCTTGTGGAACAGGTAGTAGTCACAATAGTAATACGATACAATAACAGAATAAACTAAAAGAACCAAGTGTCTGTTATTCCTCTAGGAGTGGGACAAAGCTGAAAAACAGGCACCCAAATGATAACTAAGAGAAGAGTCATTGGCATGCTGCTGCACAGTGGGCTGATACAGGACTTGAGTATATCACAATTCTCTGCCTTGGGGAGCTCAGGATTTACACCGTTTTCAACACATTTTCATCTGGAGTCTCACACAAAATAAAAACAGGAACACCAGCAATTCCCAGGAATCCTTCCTCTTGGTCCCATGGGAATCTACACAAGAGAGCTTATTTTGAAGGAAATGGGAACCCTGGTTTCTGCCCAGAAGGGGCTAAATTAATGTCTCCAAATTCACGGCTTTGAAAGGACCCTCTAGCCGAGTTGAAAACGTCTGATATATAGATATAATTTTTGAAGACATGTATTACTGTTTGACTGGTTTAGCAAAGAGATAGTATGCCTTCGTATAAAGAGCCTCAGTCCCTTGGTGCCATTACAGGCGTATCTGTCCACTGCAGCTGGAAAAGGAATGAAACTGAAGAAAATAAATCATAAAACCACTGTCCAGATAAAAGCCCTGAGCAAGACCCTTCCTTCCAAATAATCAAGACCTTTATTGGGTCTTAGAGACAGGAACAGAAAATAGTGACATGCAGATAACATGGAAATACCCTAAGCTTGACCAAGGCAAGCTCAAGCCTTAGTTCATGTGGATCACAGTATTTCTGCTGCATTAACACACGTGATAAGGAAACTGTCCTGAGCCTATGCTGTCCTTAACCAGGACATGAAGAGACTATTGTGAGATTGCTACAACTGGTGCAGAACACAAATCAGATGAGGGAAGAAATAAGGGTAGTCCTGAGCTCCAAATCCCAACCTGGGGGGAGTAGGAAGGATCTCCCATGGATTGCTCCTTCTACCTCCCACTGCATGCACAGAGTTCATCCTTCAGATAGAAAATGGAAACTGTTCCTTTAAAAAGCAAAACAAAAAAACAACAACAAAAAAACAAACAAACAAAAAAACAACAACAAAAAAAAAACAAAAAAAAAACCAAACAAACAAACAAAAAAAAAAACCAAAACAAAAAAACCCAGTTGTATAGCAGATACTGATTTATGCACACAGACACACACACGCACACATATATATATATTTTATTGGCAAATAAAGAAAGATCAGATCTTTAATGAAATCAGGATGGGTTTAGGAGGTGAACTTGAGATGAACTCCCCAGATTTTCATGGAACTTCAATTAAAAGAGTTTCAGAAGAGTTGCTGAAAGCCAAGCACTTGACATTGAAAGCTTAATTTAAAATGAGAAGCATTTTTATACCACATTTCCCAGTGAAATTCCAGCCCTGATCTTAATTACGTATTTTTTTTCTTGAATATGTTTTTTTCTTTTTCAGATAAGCCCTATAGCAATGTATGTAAGTTTTATCCCCAGGTGTTATGACCAGTGCACACATAGTGGCTACACTGACAGAAGCGCTCATCATTATTGTGGAGAAAATGAATCTACCCTCTCCACTCTAAAACTAGTGGTGAAATTTCAGTTAGCTCTTGTTATCATGTGCAATATATAAGGATTTAGAAGTATGATAAGTTCTACGACAAGCAAAAAAAGTGGTTTGGGGGAAAGGAGTGAAATCTGGCTTCAGAAAACAAAACAGAACAAAATAATTAAAAATAAAGATGGTGGTTTAATTTCTGCTTTCCAGACTATTCTCATACAATCCTAGGAACACAAGCTTAATACAAAGCCTCACTGTAGGGCCCTTCTGAATACCAGTGGAATCATGCAACTCAATCCTTGAGCTTTGCTTTGAAAATGTATCCCTCGCTTGATCAGATGCACTACAATTCAGTCTGAGCATCAGCCTCTGGGCGTGGAAAGGGGAAACTGGGCGTGGAAAGGGGAAACTAACAGTGTTTGAAGACTGACTGAAACTGGACAGTGGATCCCAGAGTATCAGTGGCCCAAATCCATTAAGGGAAATGATCTTGTTTTAACCAGGTACCAGGAAATAAGTTACTTCAGAAACCATTTAAAGAAATAATACTTTATTTTATAATGAAACATGACGGAATAGAAATTATTCTGAAATTATTTCAAGTAATGATGGGGGGCTTTATGCCTAAAATAACAAAATCCAGCACTGTGTCAAGGACACTGTTACCAAGACAAACTTTATGTGATGTGGGGTTGAACCTCTCCCTCTGCCTAAGTTATCTGCAATGTAATTGAATAATAACAGATCTGAAAATCATGGCTGAGCTCTTGGTGCTGTCATGTAAGGAGCAAGCACTCACGTGCAAATGGCAACAGTAATTTCTTCTGTCCTCACTGTAGACCAAAGACTTTTAATTCACATGGGAAAAGGTAAAAATAAATGGTCCTCAAAGGCTTCCCAGTCTCATTCTTGTCCCAGATGCTTTGTGAGGAGCCTCGAGAGGAGGTCTTCCTTCTTTCACCTTTTCAGGGGTACCTTCTCTAACCCCATTCAACAGCTGTGGGGAGTAGACTCCAAAACTGCATTTTTTGTAGTCCAGGAGATGAACTGAAAGTTCAGACTGACAAACACGGATGATAGTAAAGTTAGTGTGATGGATTGTCTCTTATGGGGCTGAAACATGGTCTTAAAATTGTCTGAATACTCAGAATATTCAACCTTCTTGTTGTTCATCCCCCACAAGATCCTCTTCATTTATTCCATAGGGGTGGATCCTGCCTTGTTGAAATCTCACAGTGTGAGAGCATCAGGGGGCAGCCAGCCATTTCCAGGTCAGTATCGTGTGACTTGGTGATTGATGAGAAGCCCCTACCAGAGCCTGAAAGGTGTCCTGTTAATGTTGATAGCCATCCGCGCACGACCAGATGCCCAGCAGGACAAACGTGAAGAGGCTGTGGAGAGCAGAGCAGTATGGCTGTGGCTTTGCTGGGTTGACCAAAGCACTCAGTTTGTGTTGGCTGGATGTCTACTGATGGGGCAGCAGCCAGTTAGTGCAGCATGGACAGACAGCATCTGGTCTCACATACAGACTGCCCAACGACAATTTTTATACCTGCAGAGTGGTGGTATACCAAATCAGGTTTCTGCATGGTGTGTTCAGGAGATTTTGGCTTGGTATCAGAGGTCCCATCACTGGAACTGACGTACCATTGAACCATGTACTAGGACAAGCATTTAATATAGAAACAGATAACCTGGTACAAGTTAGAGGAAACAGCTCGGGAACTAGTGCCTGCCTCTCAATCTGCTGCACAGATCTGAGTTAACACCAGCTAAACCAGGCTGCTCCCAAGATGTCCAGGATTTCACAGCTAACAAGAACCTTCCAATTGAGGTTTTCAGCCTGCTACAATTCAGCAAAGGGAAAATCAAAGCAGATTTTTCTCTCTGCTCAAACCTTCCATTTGTACAGTTTCCTATTTTACAAAGAGACTGACGCTATTTAAAATGCCAGATCCATTAAATCTTTTGTTTTCTCTAAATCAGAAAGAAAATGGTTGCTCACAGTTTTATGGGAAGCCATCAATCTTTCCCAAAGTGACTTACTGTAGTGAAGAAAATAAACATTGCTATGTATGTAAAGCAGAGCAGAAAGGCTAAAGTCATGGGCAAAGCACTGCTTTCTTTAGGAGTAGCAACATATTAAAGACAAATGTAGTCCACTGAAAGTGACATAAATAAGTGGATTTCCCATCTGAAACATTGTTTTTAGCAAGAGAAGCTTTTAATCCCCTTAAATTCATTTCTAATCTGTCTTGGAAGTGCTTGTCTAAAGAATATTACATTGATATAAAGGATTTAATTTATTAAAACTAAACAGCAGCCAGCATACTACTAAAGAATATCTTGTACGCAGTACTCTCCCAAATGAATAAAGCTGCTACAGGTAGAAAAAAAAAAATGCACAAACACTTGGCACAGCATTCATTAAAAATTCACACATTATGTTCCTGAGCTCTCCTGCTTGCTGTGCTTTTCCCAATAAAGCAAACACTTTAGAATTCATAATACCTCTTTATCCCATGTGCGCAAGTGACCTCCTCTCCTTTATGCACCTAGCAAATGAACAAGTACAAAAGGGAATAGAGTAAGCAGAAAACCAAACATGCCCTCTCCTACACAAGAGCATACAGAGAGGGCAAGCAGAGGTTCTCAGAAGGGTTTAGCACAGCATCTACCAAGATGCCAATGCTCTCACTACCCAGCAGTTTTGGCTGGTGCATGCTGCGTAGATAGCATCAATTATACAGTTTGTCAGTCAATTAATTTTAAGGGATCTTTCTTAAAATAGCAGTTGAAGGAAACAAAAGTTTCCTTCAAGCTACATTTAAATCACTCGTTAGCCACAAGTCTGGCAGACTTTAATAAGCAGCAAGAAGCCAACCACCAAATGACAAAATGGCCTTCTTGTCTCTTCCTGAGGATATGAGAATTTCTCCATGTTTCTAAGAGTGCACCTTGAGACATCATGAGACATCTCCCTGGTTTCTCTGCATGCTTTCAGTATGTAAGGTGGTGTCCAAACGCATCACTTTCAATCAAGGCCTCAGAGATCTTTTAATTCTACACCCCAATCATTGAAAAGACTTCCAGAAATTTTGTGAAAATTAGTAACAAACTGTCTTAAGGGAAGATTTAGTCCACAAGGAACAACCTACATGTTCAAAAATGTACTGTTATGTATAAGGCCTCTTTCCTGAACTGTGCAGTTCAATATAATATAGATTTTCAGGCTTTTTTCCCTGTGTCTTGCCAAAAGAGACATTATTTATGGAGAAAATTCTGCTCTGCTATGGCACAGTGTATGCGTTGTGACTCATCTTACATTACACCCATTGATTTCTTCTGAAGTCACAGCTGAAGCATTCTGTTGCAAATAAGATCAGTATTTGGGCACGTATTGTTATCACACTGGATCTTAGATTAAATTATACATGACATATTTTCCATTCATTTTAATAATGGCCAGCAGCCATACTGCCTCCATTTTGAGCCCACATACCCTAAGTCGAATAGGATCAAGACTGGTCAGCACTGGAAGGTCTCAAAGAAATTCACGAGGTAGGTGAAGGTATTATTCAGGAATTAAGATTTTAAACCTGCAGAGAAACATGTTCATGAGGAGTCAGTGTATTGTAGGTGTTTTTTGCAAGGCAGTCATGGATTGGTGCTGATTCTGACTAAACACCCCCTAACCAGGCTGACCAAAAAAAAAAAAAAAGTCAGCTTTTGCCCTCCTACGTGATACCAAAGTAAATCTATTCTCATACTATTACACACACAGAGTCATGGCAGTTCTAGCAGTATTGGTACATGATTGTGTGAGTAAAAGGAGGACTAGCTTTCCTGAAGTCTTGAAAAAGAAAGAGTGACCGTGAAACTGGACGTCTTTCATAGGAAACCTTTTTTCTCTGGGTGTTATATATGTGCACATTTTGATGCAGTAAGCAAGGGCAATGACAAAAAGCCTCTTCTTTAAGGAAAAAAATAATTAGCACAGACAGTAAAGGCTTCTGTCTAATAGGAAATCCCTTTTCTTCCCTGCATTCTTCCAACCATTTTAGATGGTGCTGTAGCACAGTCAAGTGGTACCTACTGACATTTTTATTTTGGGTAAAAGCCCATGAAAATATTAAAGCATGAACAAGTCATCAAGTCAGTTTATGAATCAATATACAGATTTCCTCCATGCCCATAGCTGATTTCCATAACCATGAGCGTGCTGAAATCCTGTCTAGATGCCAAATCAATTTTTCTTATATATGAACATCACAGCTACTTGAGAAAGGGAATCTGTGCCAAAAACCTCACGCTCTTAACTAATTATTTCTGTGACTCCCTCCTTGCAAAGCACAATGACTGTCACATAAATACACACAACATTTATTAGGAACAGGCACACTTCCCACAGGTTCAGCCTGAGTGCAGCAGCATCTCTGACAAGCTCATCTTCCCGAACTGTGCAGCCAGCCTTTATCACACGAAATAGTTCTGCTTTTCCCAGGACATTTTTGCTGTGAAGTACTCAAGCTCTTATTGTCTCAGGCAGGGCAGCCAGGAGGGCATGGCAATCTGCAGCTCACTGAAGAAGCATCCTGCAGACAGAACTGTTGGCTAGCATTTGCTTTTGCTGGTCTTGATATTGGTCTTGTCCAGTGTCATCGTGCCCTCCCACGTGCCTCCCTGCATACAATCCAGAGAGATGTACCTCCTCAAAGATGACAAACCTGTTAGGTCTCCCCCTGGACACAAGTACATCGATAACATCTATTTGCACTTAGTTTGTCCTGAAGACTTCAGCCCCTAACGTGCCTGGATTATGGGGAGGAAGCAGTAGTGCTGCTGAGAAACTGCCGTAATCCCTCTGCCACGCAGGCTCACCCCGGGGCAGGGGTGCGCTGCCGGCGGGCTGCCCCAGCGTTCGCAGCAGAGGAGCTGCTCCGTGACTTCGTTGCAGCGTCTCCCTCTCACCCAGCCTGGAGCTGCCATCTGTGGCAATGACACGAGCACAATACCTCATGTAAATAATTTCCAAGTGGAGGTACTCGTTATTAGTGCAGGCAGTTCTGAAAGTAAAAGCAAACAACATTTGGTAGCAAGAACTCTTAATGAGGGTGTCACTGGGGAATTCGTTCTGGAAACCACACGGCGATTTGCAGGGCATTTCCTCGCAAGGCGTCTCGGAGCAGATGTTGTGCAAGTGCCCCTGACACAGAGCAGGCAAGAAGTGGGGCTAAAGTACCAAGCCAGCGTAGATGACCAAGTAGGGAGGAAGACACGAGGTTGTCAGGACAGCAGGGCCTGAGGAGATGTGGGTTGGTATTGGCGGACCAAAAGTATGCTGGTGCTGCAATGAGCTACCATTGCACAACAGGGACGCTGCTGGGGAGGTGATGGTTTGGTCTGGGTTCCAGCCTCCTGACATTGTTGGGCTTTCTGAACTTGAGGCACCATCATGCTTCTGCGTGTGTGTAGGCGTGAGGAGCAGCATCTAGGCTAACAATTCTAGGCTTGAATCAGCAAGCCTTGTCAAAAGAACATGAGGTCAGTGATGGACTAATGACTCCTGTGGGGTGCCTTATTTGTTTCTTCATATTTTGACAGTTCCCGGACATCTGAAAAAATATAAATAAAAATTATAAATACCACATAATATACACATTATAATAGAGAATATAATAAATATAATTAGATACGTGTCACTAGTATATTAATTTATTTAATTAGCTAATAAAGAAAATATATAGCATTATAGATAAAACTTGTATTACAGAAATTATAAATCATGGTATATAAAAAACTGCCCTAAAACAAAGGAGGTAAAGAGGGCAGGAGCACTTTTATCCTGCTGAGAGGGCAGGAGCAAAACTCATCTCAGACCATTCCCCTCTCCCCAGCAAGCCCTGTGAAAACATGTAAAACAGTCAGCTAAACTGATACACCTGTAACGTCAAGGTTTTGAAAGGAAAAGGGAGTTCAAAAAATACTACCCTTGTCTCTCAAAAGCAGATTCTGTTGTTGAAAAATAAAGCAGGTGCAGAAAAGAAAAAAAAATCCCTCCCTTGTGTTCCACATTAATATATCCTTTTGTTGAACATACTGTTGGCCCCTGCAGTCCCACCGCCCACAGCCTGAGCTCTTGGCTACCCTTCCCCATGTACTTCACTTAAGAATAAATTTTCATCATTTCAAGCACTAGCAGTAACAAGAAAAGGAAATGTCCTACTCAGATGTCTCCCAAATTGCCACATACATAAGTTACATATTAAATATATTATGCAGAAATCTAAATCACTTATATAATGCAAGAGGACAGAGTGCGTTCCAGGCTGCCTGATAACATGCTGTTTTTTTGAAGAAGGTCTGAGGGAAAACTGCTTCCCTGGTTAATAAGATCTAGAGAACATTGTGCAGTGTCCTTCACCAGTGCGTTTACAGGAGAGGATGCCACCCAAGGGGAGGCTGACACTGGGTGGTGGATTCACTGCCTGGCTTGGGTCTGGAGTCCAAGTCCCGCAAAAATTAGCTGAGAGCAGCCTGTTTCTGTGCCATGGCTGTGTGACGAGGCGCTGGGTATTGAAGCACTGGTACCTCCTGGTTCTCCAGGGCCTCAGACCAGCACCCTGAACGCATGTTGGTACCCTGAGCATCGGTCAAGCTCTGAGAATTTGTCTGAGCACATGTCAGCAGGCACTCTCACGCTCTACTCCTAATTTACAGTGACGTTTCACTTCACCGATGGCAAGTTTCTGGGCGGTGTAGCTCTGTCCCCTGCACTAATCCCCCGGCATGCACAGGGCACGCTGCCAGCTAGGTGCTAAATGCTGGCACAAGGGGAATTGTCACTGTCCCTCCCTGCCCTGCCCCAGCCGAGCTGCGGCACAGGAAATGCCACAGCCATCACACACCGCAAAGCAAAGCTTCTGCAGATTCCCGTTGGGGAGAGAAGAGGAAAAGTGGGGTTTTGAGCCAGTGCCCTCTGCTGCCATGAGGCTGAGCCCTTCCCAGGGGTCCCGCAGAAACTTTCCCTGTTCCCTGGCAGGGGAGGCAGTCCAGGACATCCCTGAGGGACAAAAAGCAGCCACAAGCTCGCTAAAACCCCTCGTGAGCACTGCAAAAGTCATAACACTCGAGAGCTGCAATGCTGCAAGCAGTATGCATCTTACCCAGCTGAGACCTTTTTAAACCCTTTGTTTCAGATCAAGCACATACAGTCCCAAGCTCTGTACAAGTGCATCAACCCGTGGCACCTCTGAGAAGGAAATAATCGAGTAATTGTTTCCAACACAGGGGCCGTGTCATTTTGTAACATCATCTTGCCATTAGCAAATATAATCTAAATACCTAAGTAGAAGTAAAAGCTACAGACAGAACAAAGTGTGCTTATGTAAGAAATCCATAGCTTTTCTAGGTACTTGGCACATCAGTATCCTAATCAGTATCCTAATTCTATTATAATCTAACAGATAAATCTTGATCTAACAGTTAATACTAATGATATCAACAGTTATTTCTTAATGATTTAAAACCTAGGGCAAAAATATCCACCCTATGCTTTTTGTTTGGGGATGTTTGGTTTTGTCCCCAGAGCGGCAAAATGAAAATTCTTACTATGACTCAGAATTTACTATATTTTACCTCTGTTCTCTAGTTTATATAAAGAGATCATAACCTCCTCTGGCACCATAAATAACCGTGCCTCTACAGCAGCAGAGCCAGGCACAACAGACAAAAATCATCAAAATTGCTAACCAAACAAGCAAAAGGAGTTATTAAAGAGCTCTTAAGCTCCCACATGTTTATTTTCAGTGATCTCCACTGCAAGCCCTGCCTTAGCTCTCCCAAAGAGCCAGGACACTGATTGTGCTCTCATTAAACAATGCCCTGTCATCAAGCCGAGACGCTAGATAAAATGTACGATTATTAATCCCTTCAATGTAATTATAGATGACAAGAAAAAAGAGAGGAGACCATGTCAGTGGAATGGCTTCGCTCACAAGAAGAGAAAACAAATAACTGCGATAGCAGAAGTTATAAATGTTTCTAATTCAACTGAGCTGTAATGTTTTTGTTTTTCCCAGTAGCATCCATTGGGTTTCACACAGTATTAGGTCAACAGGCCTGGAATTCTAATAAATATATAAGGCAGGAATGTTTTTATTAAAAAATAAAATTAATTAGCCTTTACTTCATCAGCAAAATTAGCTTTAATTTCAGCAAAATGACAAACCTTCAGTCAGAGCTTGACTGATAACCTGGTGACCTGGCTGCAACGTATGGTTTCCATCCCCATTTTGTGAAACCACGGTTATGTCTTTGGCTGTCTTTCATTATGTCTTGCGGGTGGTGTGTTGATGACCAGGACAATGGTTTTCAGCTGAGAAGAGAAGGAAGTGGTTTGATAAGAAACGATTTTCTCTGACCTCTTTGCAAGAGGCTGTGGAGACACCACGTGTGAAGGGAGGCAAAGTTATGGCCGCCTCAAAGGAGAAGGAGGGATGTATCGACAACCTCTGATTTATTAAGCTATCTACAGCAAAGAGTGAGAGGTTCAGGAATTGTTTACAAAGCTCGTGTGACTTACTGGACTGCTGAGTCCAGGATGAGGTGGCATGTGTGTCTGGGAAAAGATGTTTCTGAGCTACAGAAGAGGCGTTGGGTGAGTTGGAGAGATGGCAGAGGAGCAGGGCTAAGGGGAGAACTATGAGAAATGAGTTACAAGACAGGAGCAGGAGCTCCAGGAACACGTGAGGGTCTGCAGCTATGGAGCCTTTGCTCCACAAGAATTGATACCAGATGACTCAGCTGCACAAATCTGATACAGATCACACTGTGGACATGTGACTGCTTCTACCAAATTAGATACAGCACATGATGTGAGCTTGTGCCAGCTTCACTCAGGCTGTTGAAAGACAGACAATAAGGATGGATAGTCTTACAGACAGCATGGAGCAGCCAACCACCACCTCTTCAAACACAGATCTTCTCCCCAGACTTTACCCCTCCAAAATGGTGAACAAGCTTAAAGCTGTGACATTAGCATACCCTAAATCAGTGCTTTGCATCTCAGGGCCATGATGTTTTTCATTCAGTAGCTGGAAACATAAAGCCAGATGAGGTATGTCACCCACAGCAGCCAGTGCCATACCATGTGCAGGCAGAGGAGGACGTGGACATGCAACACAGTCCAGTGGCAGAGGGCTCTGCTCTAGCACTTAGCAAAAGAAAGAAAGGGGGCTAATTTCTACCTGAGACCCAAGACAGAAGATGATGTTGGAAAGTCTGACTTTCTTATGGGCCTGCTGTAGAAAATAGGTCTAAGACTCAGACTATCCTGTTTGAGGCACCCCTGGAACTCTGATTTGCAAAACTCAGCAGAAAAACAAAATAACACACACGCAAAAAATCTCCCAAACAACAACAGCAACAAAAAGCCAGCAACCCAGACCTCAAACCCAAACTTTCTGGCTAGTTCATTCAAGGCTATTTTTCATTCCACTTATCACTGCCACCAACATTTTGCTTAGTCTTGAAGAAAACGTTGTCATTCCACAGTCAGATGTTTTTACATGTACATCCATCATCGCCTGATATATCCTGACCTTAGTTAAAACCTATGTTTTCAAAATTGTACTTTTATGTTGAGCAAGCCCCTAGGCTACACTGTTAAAAGTTTACATTGAAAAATCATTTATAATTGATTTGTTTGAGTTATGCCTGTTGCAAAGCCATCAGTAAAGGCAGTATTAATTAGCAATGGCTTACATATAGTCTAGACAATAAAAAAGTAAATAATTTTACCTTTCTAAAAAGCTTTCAGTATTTTACCAGTTCTAACAAATGATACTGATATAAATTACAGTTAAGAAAAAAAACCTGCTGTATGATTTACAGCAAAGCTGCTCCATTTGAGTAATTTATTTTTCCTTGAAATATTTTCATGATATACACACATAGCTCAAATAAAAATATGTTTATTGTGAAACTGAGATAGCCAACAAAAAATCTTAATTAATTCCATTTGCTATGCAATAGCTTGGTTGGAGGAGTAAACAATAAATTTCAGTTTATTGCATAACGTCCTAAATTTCACTGTAAAAGATTTGTTTTCATTTCAGGTACGTAATGATGACAATTGTACAGAACATTTAAATAGTGCACACAACAAAAAAACTTTCCAGAGCTCTAGCAAACCCTTAGCCATATGTATTGTTTCAGCAAAACTAAGGAGGCAGGTAGTTCATCTCGGTTAGACACCGAAGGATTGAGCCTTTATTTCCAAACATCCTCTCTGAGTGCCTGACATAACTTTGAGAAGTCTCATTAAGCACGTATTAATGAATCATTAGAGTTGATTTTATTTATTCACAATGTCACTGCAAAGAGGCATAGGAGTTTTGGATCACGACATTTTGCAGCAGATGATGTTATTTTAGTCCATAATTGGTGGTGACAAAGCCACAAAACAGTAATAGCGTCTGGTTAATGCCAAGAAAAATATAATAGCAGTCAAAGAATTTATCTTACATCTACCTTCATTTGGAAACAGATTGCTTCGTCATCCTCGAGAAGACTGACAACAGATCACAATTTCTGTATCGGTTTGGATCATAAC